ACAATCAAGCAACGAGCTCATCCACCCGCGCGCGCCTGTGGATGTACGAGGGCATGTGGCCCCAATGTCCATCCTGCACCCGAGCCGGATCCCAGATCGCCGTCGAGAGCCTACGCAGCAGTGGCAGCACGCGCCCGTCGTCATCGTACCCCATCCCCAATCCCAGAGTGCACGCAGAAGCTGACGGCCCCGAGGCCCCACAACCGCACGCCAGAGCGATGCCGCGCTGAGTGACAGTACATCGTCCTTGCGGCGCCGCATGTCGGCAAATCTCCTCCAAGGAAGCCGCAAACGACCACTGCCCCGCTGCGTAGGCCCGTGTCATCGAATACCCATACCCAGAGCGCAGGGAGACGCCGACGGGCATCGTCTCGAGGCCCCGCACGCCGTGCTCATGGGCCCACCGTCAATGCACTGGGAGCCAGTGCATCGTGCTCGCTCGTCCTCGCAGCGCCGCATATCCCGACCACTGTCCTCCCAGCATCACGAAGGAAACCGCAGACGACCCCCGCGCCGAGTACGCAGCACGCAAGTCGCCCTCGGCTCGCAACACCACCGTGCACACACAGCGCCCCACCGCATCCGTCTCGTCCTTCACTCCCCTTCTCCTCATAAACACCCCCCTCTCCTCTCCCGCGAAAAACAAGAAAGAAACACAAAAACGAAAACGCACCCAACAACGACATTAACCACCCCCTTCGGGAACCCCGCCTCCTGGATGAGCGCACACATGCGCAGCGCGGTGAGGGGCGTGAACTCGGAGGGCTGAAGGACGAGGTTAGCAGGGTGAAGAAGCAGGAAGGGGAGAGGATGAAGGAGGAGGATAGGAAGAGATTCAAGGGAAGGTAGAAGATGAAAAGGGCACGTAGAACGAAGAGAAAAAAACATCTCGAGCGTCGATATACCCAATGATCCGCCAATGCAAGAGCCTCATCCTCGTGGACACACGGGATCCGCAAAGCCCAATCGCCGCGAGGCTCAGCGACCGGACGGCCGAGCGCAGCAGCAGCTCCAGTGCCCGGCCGCCCTGCCTACGACCGCCAGCTCGTCGTCGACGACACAGGGCCTGTGACAGTCCCGAAGACGCGGGGTACCGGCGACGACACTGCCCGTCCACAACGCACTCGTAAGAACCCCGTCCTCGTCGACGCGACGACGCAGGGGTACCGAACGGCACCGAGGTCAGAACGACACTGGGAAGCGCATCCCCGTCCAGGCCGGAACCCACAGCGCAGTCATAAGGGCCTCGTCCTCATCGACTCGACGATGCAGGGCATCCGCAAAAGCCAAGCCTTGGCGGCGAGTGAACGGACGGGCGCGGTTTAAGCTCCGAGGCCGCGCTCGACGATCGCCAGCTCGTCGTTAACGACACCGACGGAGACGCGCCGCAGATAGTAGGCAGCGGGTGGAGTGCATCCTCCCGCCGATCGCGACCCTCAAACTGCCAAGGCAGCACAGCGAAAACGGGTCATCATAAACTGCCCGCCCGGGAGGCTCCGCCACCTCGTCGTCGTCGCCCAGAGGGTTCTCGCAGTCCCACACCGCCTGCTCCAAAAGAAGAACGAAGACCAAGAAACACACCTTAAGCACGATCGTGTTCCCCGTCGCCAGCGCGGGCCCGACTTTCCACGAGAACATGAGGAGGGGGAAGTTCCCTGCGGAATTGGGGTCAGCGTCAGCGGCGAGATGAAGAGGAAGGGGATTGGGATTGGGGTGAGGAGGAAGAGGAGCGACCCGGGAGAGGGAGGGGGAAGGGAGGGAGAAGAGACAAGGGGGAAACGTTGGGGAAACACCCCGCCCGAGCGCGACGACTCGAACGACTCCGATCGTCCCACCACCGCGCACCGGCACCAAGATCACGACGAACAGCGCGTGCAGGCCCACGACGAGCCGCCAGCCCCGACGCGTGTAGCCAGTGTCCTTCCGCACCCGCCCGAGCTCCCCGCCTACGACGACGAGCGAGATGGGCACGCGCACCTTCCCGCCATGGTGACCTCCATCACCGCGCGCACCGAGACGGAGACCACGCCCCGCTTACGACGACCACGCGCACCAATACCAGGACCACGTCTGCACCTACAATCCGCGCTCGCGCTCGTGCCGAAAACACGAGGCTCTGTCCTCTTGATACCCCGCACCACCACTGCGCGCACCGTCAGCCGCCGGTGATATACACCAGAGCGCCTTGAGCAGCCCACGGCCCGCACCCAGGACGGCTCCGATCGTAGCATCGCCCGCGCCGACACCAGGACCACGGGCGAGATGAGCACCCCGCACTGACGAGCACCGCGGTCGTCGCGGCCTGTACTCGCACCCGGGCACGATGTCCACCCCGCACCACTACCACGCGCACCATCACCCGCCGAGGAGACACAGCAGCCCTGCGCAGGCCCCAGTCGCCCAAAGACCTCCTACACCACGACCACGCGCGAAATTTAGAGGAGGAACGCACAAGGTATAATCTGCCCCACAACCCCAATCGGCTCATGCCGCGTATAGACCAGCTTGCGCTCGTCCGTCTCGAGGGTCTGGCCGGTGAGCTTGTCGGCCCAGCCGGCGTAGTATCTGGAAGAAATAAGTTAATATGGGGGAGAGGGGGGGTTAGTAAGGGGACGCTGCGAGCCACGACCGTGAACGGAAAACGAAAAGTTGGTCGACACGAGGACAAAGCGGGGATGGGAATGCGAACGGAAACGTGCGGCGCGACGACGGAGGACAGAAAGACGGAGAAGAAAGAGGAAGAAGTGGAAGCAGAAAACGTAGAGGGAGCCAGCGAAACGCATCGCATCCGCCGCACGACGAGAGACGACGACGAGATACCAGGTACAAGTGGTAGCGTGACGCGTCAAAGGAAAGAGAGTCGGTAGGCCACGCGACCAGGAGCGAAGAAGTGCTCGGCGCGCCAAAGGGGTCCGCCAGCGACGTGCACGCGGAGGACGGGGACAGAAGGAGTGTAGGAGGCGAGCGAGCCCTCGCCCCCGTACGTATGCGCACAATGGTCGGTGGGGATGCGAATGATGCGGATGCGAATGATGCGGAGGCGAACACCAGGAGCATAGAGTATAGTCCAAATCCAGATGGACGTGTACCCATCCGAAAAGGGAGGGCACGGCGCGAAGAAATGAATGGATGGATGAGAAAGAGAAGGAGCGAGCCAGCGAGGGACGCGGACGCGAGATAGGACGAAAAAGGAGGGGGATGGGATGCGATAAGTGAAGTGCGTTGCAAGACAAGACGAAGTCTCCGGGGAGTACGACGGGACGGCCCACACGCGCCAGAGGAGGCAGCGACGCGAACGACGGGGACTGAAGGAGGGTAGGACGCGAGCGATCTCTTGCCCCCGTACGTGTGCGGGTCCGCATCGACCCCGCACACAGCGGTTGGTGGGGATACGAATGATACGGACGCGAACGCCAGGAGTATAGAGTATAGTCCCAAGTCCAAATCCAAATGGGCGTGTACCCATAGGTAACGGTACGGGAAGGAATGATGAATAAAGGATCGAGGGTTGACGCGAGCCAGCGAGGGATGCGGAGGCGAGGAAAGGTAATACGGGGCTAATGAGGACGCGAAGGCGCCCGTAAGGGAAGGGCGAAAGCCAAATTCGACGCGAGGCGCATGCACGCAATCAAGGGCCCGCGCAGGTCGTATAAAGCCCCGCGGCGAACGTACAAACGAGCGGAGAAGGAGGAGAAAATGAAGGAAGAAAGTGAGATCAAGAAGCGAAACGCACTTGAACGTCTGAATAGCGAACGACACGTCGACGTGCTTGGCCCAATTGAACGTCTTCCCTACGCCGCGCAACGAAACCCATCAGCGCTTGCCCTCACAAAACGCGAGAAGGAAGGGCACCATTATCCAACGCCTCAATCGCGCTGAGCTCGTCCAGATCCCTCTCCATCAAGCGCGCAAGGCGGCCGATGAGCTCCCCGCGCTGCGCGGCGGGGCAGTTGAGCCCCCACGTCGTGTCGAAGGCGGCCTGCGCGGCTTTGACGGCGGCGTCCACGTCTGCCTTGGAGCCCTCCGCCACGCGCGTGAGGACGGTGCCGGTGCTGGGGTTGATTACGCTGCGACGCGGCGGGTGTCAGTATGTATGTGCCGAGTGCGAGGACGGGAAAGGAAGGGAGGGAGGGGGGAGGAGGAGGAGGAGGAAAAGAAAGACGCGCTGCGCACTCGAGAGTCTTGCCATCCGCCGCTTCGCGGAACTCGCCATCGATGAAGAGGCCCGTGGAGAACTTGGTGCTGCCCTTGAACAGGTCGCCCTTGAACTCGTAGCTGAATGTCGGCGAGGTCATCTTGAGTTATCGTTCTGAGTCCTTTCCTTTCGTTCGTTCGTCGTTCGTCGTTCTTGAGAGCGTCGAGTGGCAAAGGCAAGAATTTGAAACGTGTTATATAGGGGGGAGGCGTCGGGTGACCAGCCAACTATGTAATTCGGTAGTGGTAGATCCCCTGCACGAATTAGATTAGCCTCGTCTTGTAACCACGTACGTCTCACTTACTCCATCCTTCCTCTACACCATTCCAGGGAACGTGGTCCACAACGCGGCGAGATACGCCTAGTCTCGCGTCCTAGCCCTCCGGATGGATCCCAAGCTGGCTAGCGTCGTCGCGGTGAATGCAGCATTATGCAGCAACAACAACGATCGATGCGACGCGTCGATCGTGAGAGCATCAGCTGATCCGCCTTACCCCCATCCATCCAGCAAATAGGGGGTGATATTCAATTATGCGTATGGTTCCTGTAAGGCGGAACTACATAAGTAGCAAAATGGAAGGCAGAGGCGGAGGAAAATAAGCGTTGAAGGGGAGATAGGCCTCTGGTGGGAGTCGAACCCACTTCCTCTCCTTCAATGAAATATTCTCGAGCACCTTCGGATTGAATTGAGGTGATTTCCGTAATCCACAGAGACTCCCGAGTAATTATTCTTGTGGGGGGTGTTGTACAGGATTTCGCCGAAGGCCAGAAGGGTGAACGGACCAAAAAGATCGGCGGGAACGAATGCCTCTGGTGAGAATTGAACCCACTTCTTCTCATTGAACACTGAATGTAAGGGCCCTACTCAACTGAGATGATTTCCATAATCCACAGAGGCCTTGCAAGCAAGATTCCGAGCTCAGATGAGCTCTCAAGGAAATTCTATCCACTGCGTCTCGTCAAAGTCCACGAGACTTGGTTCAATTTCTGGTTCAACAACAAAAACAAAACAAAAATTGCGAGGTCAAACTTTTCAACTTATCCTCACAACTCAAGTTACTTCACTCGAGGGAAATAAAAAGCACAATATTCATCGTGGAGGTATGCCTTTGGTGGGAGTCGAACCCACATCTTCTCGGTATAAACACTTGTGGTGGAGGACTCAAACAACCGAGATGATTTCCCTGATCCACAAAGGCTTCGGGACTACTTAGTCCAATAATCCTAGGACGACTGAGGGTTTTGCTGTGTTCGAAATCATGATGCTCTACACAAGAACCAATGATGAGGGTTAAAGCTAAAGGACCCAAAAAGCGAGCATGAATGCAAGGAATGCCTCCGGTGGGAGTCAAACCCACTTCTTCTCATACAACAGCTGAAAGCGCCATAATAATCTGAGATGATTTCTATAATCCACAGAGGCTTCCAAACTAAATTCCGAGCTCAGATGAGCTCTCAAGGAAATTCCACTGTGTCCCGACTGAGTCCAGGATGGGTTGGTTCAATTTCTTGAGTCAATAAATGACACCAAGCAATGAGAGGTTGAACCTGAGTCTTGTGGGGTGTTCTAAGTACAGGTTGCGCGGAAGGACAGTGATGAGCAAAAACAAAATCCAAAAAGAAAGGCAACAGCGAATACACCCCTGGTGGGAGTTGAACCCACTTCTTCCCCTTGAACAGTCGTTGTAGCCCCAACAAGTAATCCGAGAAGATTCCCATAATCCACAGAGGCTTGCAAGTGAAAGTCCGAGCCCAGGTAGAGGATCAGTGCAAAGAAATTACACTGTGTCTCATCCAAGTCCATGAGACTTAGTTCAATTACTGGCTCAACAATAAAGAAATAAAGGCTGTAAGGTCGAACTTTCCTATGCTCGCAACTCACTTCATTTGAGAGAAGTAAAAAGCACCATATCATCGAAGAATTACATGTACACCTTTGGTGGGAGTCGAACCCACATCTTCTCGGTATAGTAGACCCATTGCGGGAAGACGGAAACAACCGAGATGATTTCCTTGATCCACAAGGCTGCAGGACTAGGACGACTGAGGGTTTTGCTGTGTTCAAAGTCATGATGCTCTACACAAGAGCCAATGACGAGGGTTAAAGCCAAAGGACCCAAAGAGGGTGCAGAATGTGGAATGCCTCTGGTGGGAGTTGAATCCATTTCTTCTCATCAAACATCTTCTCAGTCTTCACTTGGTAGCAATCTGAGATGATTTCCACAATCCACAGAGGCTTGCAAACCACCTTCCAAGCCCAGGTGAGCCCCAAGGGAACTCCACTGTGTCTCATCCAAGTCCATGAGACTTGGTTCAAATTCTGGTTCAATAATAGAAAAATAAAAAGGCTGTGAGGTTGATCTTGTGCTCGCAAGTTAAGTTACTCCACTCGAGAAGAGTAGTAAAAAGTACAATTTGACATGACGCACACCTTTGGTGGGAGTCGAACCCACATCTTCTCAGCATAGACTCGTGCAAGAATCAGACACACGACCAAGATGATTTCCCTGATCCACAAAGGACGCAGTATGCACAATAATTCCAGGTGGGCTGGGTGCTTCCCTGAGCGGACATGATGGTATTCTGCACGATGAGGGTTAACGGGCCCAAAAACCGAGCATGAACTAGTGACTGGCCATGCCTCTGGTGGGAATTGAACCCACTTCTTCTCATTAAAGAGCTTTCTGAACGCAAAAGCAAGCTGAGATGATTTCCGTAATCCACAGAGGCTTGCAAGTGAAAGTCCGACCCCAGATGAGCTCTCAAGGAAATTCTACTGTGTCTCATCAAAGTCCAGGATGGTTGGTTCAGTTTCTGGGTCAATATAATGACACTGAGAGGTTGAACCTGAGTTCCGAGTGCTTTTGTAGGGGTTGCGCGGAAGGACAGTGGTGAGCGGAAACAAAACCCAAAATGCAAAGTTGCACTACCCAAATGCCTCTGGTGGGAGTCGAACCCACTTCTTCCCCTTGAACAGTCCTTGTAGCCCCAACAAGTAATCCGAGATGATTCCCATAATCCACAGAGGCTTGCAAGTGAAAGTCTGAGCCCAGATACATCAGTGCAAAGAAAGTCCACTGTATCTCATCCAAGTACATGAGACTTGTTTCGGTTTCTGGTTTAATGATAGAAAAAGCATTGGTCAAGCCACTACTCGATCCTCGCGGCCACCGGGACACTGCCGAAATTTGACAGAAACAAAGAAAAGACCATCTGAGTGACAGTGCATGCCTCTGGTGGGAGTCGAACCCACTTCTTTTCATTGATGCATTGTGCCCAGGGTTCAAAGTGCCTGAGATGATTTCCACAATCCACAGAGGCCTGCAAGCAAGATTCCGAGCTCAGATGAGCTCTCAAGGAACTCCCACTGTGTCTCATCGAAGTCCACGAGACTTGGTTCAATTTCTGGTTCAATAATACATAGTAAAGCTCTGGGTTGAACTTGATAGGAATGTCTGTTGCTGAGGATACAAATTGAAGGTCCTAGTTGAGTCTACGACTAAAAGATGAAAGATGAAAAAAAGATAGTGTGCCTCTGGTGGGAATTGAACCCACTTCTCCTCATTGAATTGCACCTACATCAGATTCAGCTGAGATGATTTCCGTAATCCACAGAGGCCTACAAGCAAGATTCCGAGCGCAGGTAGATGAGTGCAAGGAAGTTCCACTGTGTCTCACCAAAGTCCATGAGACTTGGTTCAATTTTTGCTTCAATAACAACATAAAGAAAAAGCTGTAAGTATGCTCGCAACTCACGTTCCTTCACTCAAGAGTAGTAAAAGTACAATTCGACATGACACACACCTTTGGTGGGAGTCGAACCCACTTCTTCTCTGTGTAGACCTCCTGGAAGACGTCAACAAACTGAGATGATTTCCCTGATCCACAAAGGCTCCAGTCGAATGATTTCAGGAGGGCTGGGTGCTTCGCTGAGCGTTCTACATCATGCTCTGGACAAGAACAAACGGTGAGGGTTCAAGGACCCAAAAAGCAAGCAGCAATGCCGGTAATGCGTCTGGTGGGAGTTGAACCCACTTCTTCTCATGCAACACCTGATCAGCCGAGATGCTTCCTGAAATCCACAAAGACTTGTAAACCAAATTCCGAGCCCAAGTGAGCTTCAAGGGAACTCCCCTATATCTTATGTACCCAAGTCCAGAGTGGGTGGTTCAATTTCTGAGTAGTTGAGAATGACAGTGAGCAGGGAGAGGTCGAACACAAGGCCCGAGTGTCCTTGTGGGATGTTCCATGGGTTGTGCACGGCACGGAAGGACAGCGTTGAGCGCAAAGAGAACCCAAAAGCATGCAAACAGATGCTCCGTGGATGCCTCTAGTGGGAGTTGAACCCACTTCTGCTCAGTGAACCCACACTTGAATTTCTACTCAGTTGAGACAATTCCCGAAATTCACGGAGGCCTGCAAGCAGAATTTCGAGCTCAGATGAGCTCTCAAGGAAATTCTGCTGTGTTTCATCCCAGGTTCATGAGACTTGGTTCAATTTCTGGTTCAATAATAATAAAGATAAAGCCTGTGAGGTTGAACTTTCAACTTATGCTCACAACTCGAGTTACTCCACTCGAGAAGAGTAGTAAAAAGCACGATATCATCTGGGAACTATGCCTTTGGTGGGAGTCGAGCCCACATCTTCTGGGTGTAAACTCTTGGAAGACAAAACAAACAACCGAGATGATTTCCCTGATCCACAAAGGCTGCAGGACTAGTCCCACAATCTCAGGTGGGCTGGGTGCTTCGCTGAGCGGACATGATGGTATTCTGCACGATGAGGGTTAACGGACCCAAAAAGAGCGGGAAGTAGTGACTGGCCATGCCTCTGGTGGGAGTCGAACCCACTTCTTCTCATTGAACCTTTTCTATTTGTACGGGGTAGCAATCTGAGATGATTGCCATAATCCACAGAGGCCTGCAAGCAAGATTCCGAGCTCAGGTGAGCCCCAAGCAAACTCACCCATATCTTAGCCAAAACCTGGGATGGGTGGTTCAATTTCTGGATCAATATAATAATGACACTGAGGGGTTGAACCTAAGTCCCGAGTGTTCTTGTGAGATGTTCCACAGGTTGTGGAAACGGGCCCAAAATGCCAGATTACGCCACACGGATACCTTTGTTTCGATTTCTGGTTCATAAATAGAAAAAAAAAGGCTGTGAGGTTGAACTTACTTATACTGTACTATTTCGACCAAGTGTTCACAAATTTGGGAATTTTCGATGTCCGGGATGGCCGAGAAATTTTCTTTTGGTTTAAGGTGATTTTTAAAAACATCAGAAAAATTTAAATGTCACCGTCACCTGAACACTTGGTAGAAATAGTACACTCAACTCACGTTACTTCACTCGAGAAGAGTAGTAAAAAGCACGATATCATCTGGGAACTATGCCTTTGGTAGGAGTCGAACCCACATCTTCTTGCTGAGGCCGTGCTGGGATGCTATCCAAGCAACCAACCGAGCCTGATCCACAACTTAGGCTGCCTGAGTACCAGACTACCAGTCCAATAATCCCAGGAGGGCCGAGGGTTTTGCTGTGTTCGACATCATGATGCTCTACACAAGAACCAATGACGAGGGTTAAAGCCAAAGGACCCAAAAAGGGTGCAGAATGACGAATGCCTCCGGTGGGAGTCGAACCCACTTCTTCTCATTGAACACTGGATGTAGGAGCCCTACTCAACTGAGATGATTTCCATAATCCACAGAGGCTTTGTAGCAGAATCCCCAAACCCAGGTGAGCACAATGATATTCCAGTGTGTCTCACCGAAGCCCAGGATGTGTTGGTTTCTGGTTCAATATTGCAAAAAAATAAATAAAGGCTGTAGGGTTGAACTTACTTATGCTCGCAACTCGAGTTACTTCCCACAAGAAGAGTAAAAAGCACATCACTATTGGCAAGATACACCTTTGGTAGGAGTCGAACCCACATCTTCTCGGTATAGACAATGTGCTCGAAGAATTACATCTCAGCTGAGATGATTTCCGTAATCCACAGAGGCTGGCAAATGAAAGTCCGAGCCCAGATAGATCAATGGGAAGAAATTTCACTGTCTATCACTGAAGTCCAGGATGGTTTGTGAATGCGTCTGGTGAGAGTTAAACCCACATCTTCTCATTCAACAGTAAATCTGACATAGTCAAATAATCTGAGACAACGCCCATAACCCACAGAGGGTGGCAAAATGAAGC